ACGGGGCTTGATAAGCATTCGATGACGAGGGGAATTCCACCACACTGAGTTATAACAGAAGCATTTGCAGGATCTTCAGAATAAAAATAACAGCAAGATGTGCCATTGGTCAGCTTAGCCATCCGATTAACAGAACAAACAACTCACACATCTAAATCAAATGAGTGTCAAAATATGAAACCCGATGGGTCAAATTCCAAATCGCACCAACACAAGAATTGCAGATCCCTCCAACACCAAATTCAATAAGCTTCTCATTTGGCTCCGTCATGCAGTCCAAGAAAAGTTCAAGAACATTTAGCTGCTCACCAATTACAGTATTCAATAAAATACCTTCAGAAAAGGGGAGAAAAACACATTCATAAGAGCGGATCTGAAACAAAAACATACCAACACCAAAAGTAGAGATTTAATACCTGGCGTAGGAAGGAAAAATTGTAAGGATCATAAGCAAAGTTGGCCAAATTTGCAACGACTCTTTCTTTTGTTTCTGTGAGTTCAAGAGGACCCGTAGAACTTATTACTTATCTTGAGTTTCAAACAAAGGAAACATAACATTTTGAAATTCATTAGACCATGTTACTTGGTTCAAAAAAATAATTATTTAAATACATCCTCATAATAATGTAAATATTCTAATCTATATTACTCCATGGGAGGACGCTATCATTACAGAGATGTCAGAACTCGAAGAAGTTTAAACAATGAACAAAGTGATCTTTATAACCTCCAAATGGACTAGGACAACGAACTTACTAAATCCTTTTGTAACTACACTACTTTATAGCCTATTACAGTAAATTTTTTAATCTCCTTTGGTTCTAGAACCTTTGGTTTTCTGAATGTATTTCATCCATTTTACTTAATGAAAAGTTGTCATTATTTCCAAAAATAAAGGTGATAGAATGGAATCACGGATTGTTTTGGTCTTTTTCGTTTCATCTGCAACTTACAAGTTATCCTCTCAAGGTGAATGAAAATTCTTTCAAGAAATGTGGTCAGGGCCACTTTTTGGGAATTATGGTTCGGCTGGAGAGAAATAACAAAATAGAATAATTTTAGTGGCCAATTGGAAGTCTTTTGTAATCACTTTTATCCAAGGTGGGTGGAAGTCATTTCTACCATTCATTTTCATCAATGGAATAAAAGCTTGTTTCTTGCCCCCCTCCAAAAAAAAAAAAAAAAATAAAAAAAGAGAAGAAAAAGAAAGAACATTGATAGATGATCCTATTCCTTGCCATATATATATGAAAAACTTATGCACCCAATAACGAGTTGATGCCCTTCACTGTGGATTTCCAATGATGAATAAAGTAAAATTATGTGATTTTCTTACAACAAAAATCAATAAAATTATGTGGCACAAGAAATTTGTATCTACAAATAACGATCACAATCAAATTCTGAAAGATTGTATTTAGATTTTCCATTGGAAGAAACAAACAGCCCGCACAATAAACAATGCTTTGTCAATCCTAAGGTTCATATGAGAAAGAGATATAATTTTTACTCGTTTCAATAATTCTTACTAAAACTTTCCTGTTCAGTTTCTAACGGAAAGGAAGGTACCCTGACTAGTTGAGCTCTGAAATTCATTCACTAATTCCTGCAAAAAGGAAATACGAAAAAAGGACATCAAAAGTCAAATTTACTAACAAACAGAACAAGAAATGATAACAAAACTCCATGTTTTTAGCCTCAATCAATGGATAACAATACTGATTAATAAGTTCCAGGAAGCACAATGAAGAGAAAATTTCCATTAACAGACAATCTTTTGGACAATAAAACCAAATGAAACGTACCTGGAGGAACTGAAGCCTTGGAGTTCCAGATCTTCCAGTTCGCTCTGCTTGCCTCTGGTCATTAGTGAACATAGCCGTCGATGTGATAGTAACTCACAATGAAACCTTCACAAGCGAAGATATAAACAGATAAACGTAAGACTGATTTAGGGATTTATAAAAAGAATGTTCATGTTAAAACCTAATTAGAAAAGTAAGGTGGAGTTGAAATAATTTAGGCCCCATTTTTTTCTCTCCCAAAAATACAAAAATCATACCTATTTGATAACAGTTCTATCCTCTTATTAGACAAATTTTCAAATATTTAAGCCAGCTAAAACTAGTTAATTTCAGAACCAAAAATTCACAATTAAGTCATATATATGTATGTATACACAATCAAGCAAACAATAATACATATAATCTGAATACAGCATAAAAACGAACAAGCATAGAGGTT